CTATCTATCTATCTATCTATCTATCTATCTATCTATCTATCTATCTATCTATCTATCTATCTATCTATCTATCTATCTATCTATCTAAAACAAAGAAAAAGAAACGTGAAGCTATCAATAGAAAGTAAGGTGGATGTAAAGCAGCCTGCAGCCGTGCTGTCTGAGGTGTTTGTTTTCCATAACAAGCAGGACGAATGACAGGTGAGAGCGTGTCAGGTCAAACAAATAAGGAACATGTTCTTCTCAAATCCTGCTGGTGATGTAATCTCAGCTAGATATTTGTATTGAGATATTTTTAAGCTGAGCGTGACTTATTAAAGTTACATTTGCAGAAAGATTCACTGAAGGTTTACACATTTTATAGATATTAGTTGTTTATTATCTTTTGGTTAGTTTATTACCTTGTTAAATCATGCACGTGTTGTTGCATTGGTAGTCAACCCAGAGTATTTTCTAGAATATATACCTTTCAAATGAACAGAGACCAAATTAGCACTTATAGTACCAGTCATTTATGTTTTAGAGAAAAGGTAGAGTTAAAATCATTGCTGATTTTATCCACATCCACCGAAATGAGTGCCTTTAATCTTCATATAAATATTAAAAATGAGTATTAGTATGTTGTAGGATGGTGTCTGATTCAGGAAAAGTCTCTGACCTATGTTATCCGCAGTATTTATTCATTACGCAGTTCTCAGTATAGGAGACATCTTTTTTGATGTCCACAGTGGGCACCAGCATAACCACACCCTCCTCGTCTTTCATACTTCATTGCATTTCATGCACACAAGAGCTTTGTAGAAAGGGTGTTTCCAGGATTTTTACTTTTTTTGTTTTTATGGCGTGCCACAGGGGAAAATGCATATAAATACCAAATAAATGAACAATCAGACACTGCTGAGGAACATCTGCAAGGTGATGGAGAACTCCAATTTAGTGTAATTGGATACAAAACAAATGTATTAAAAGAAGGGTGGAAAAGGAAGATGGTGGCGTGAGCACTTTAAGACCTTTGTTCATTTTGAACTTGAATGCTCCACGTTCGCACTGCAGCGTGACTGAAGAATAAAGACAAGTGTCCTTCTGCAGATGGCTGTTATGAAAGCTGGTGAAGCCTCTGGCTACAGGAAGTCACAGGTGTGGTGGAGGCAGAGAGAGCTATAAATCACACACCACCCTGCCCAAACCGATTACAGTTGATGGGAGGGTGTCTATACATACAACAAAAAAAAA